GTGAACCAGGTACCGGTTCCGTGGTTTTTCCCGAGTTATGTGTCCACATCAAGAAATTACTTATGTTGTGAATTTTTTTATTTCTTTATTTTGCATAACACACTTGCAGCAGCACACACACACATACTATGTGTTTGATTGAATGATATAGTTCGCAAACCCATTACTTAGTCACCTAGCGAAGCATAGCTTTGGTACTTCAGTAGCACGAGTTTTAGAGTGACTTCTTTCGTTTGGTAGGGCAACGAAAGGCTATTTTAATCTAGGAAACAACTAAAAACTTGAGAGGGTCACCTTTGGAAGCATTCTTGGGTAACCAAAGCGTAACAACATAATCAAAAGGAAGTATGAGGCAGAATGGAGAAAGGAAAAGGATAAGGGTGGTCTTGCTTGGCGTGAAGGTTGTTGGTTTGGGGTATTGAATGATTTTCTACCAAGGGACAAGGGTTTTTTTTTTGAACAATTAGCATTGTGGTGGGATCGTAGTCTTGGTGAATTTGATTTCTACTTGATCAATTGAAAAATCTTTGCATCAGTTCACATGACAGGGTGTCCGGGTTGTTAAAAAAGGTTCACGTACTTAATTTGCATAATTAATTTGAGAATTGGTAATTGTACTAGTTTAGGTTTAAAATTTGTGATTGTCCAAGCATTAATTTTATAGACCTATTCCGACCCCCAGGTTGTGTCTAGCAATTCTACGTGTATAATTGTGAAGGAAGCTTTACTTTGAATCTCTCCCCTACTCTTTCCAATTGGTATTAGAGTGTCATTGCCCCTGAGGATTGCATTTAGGCACTTGTAGGCATATATTATATTTTCTTACTGAACTTAGTTGTTATTGATTTGAGAATTGTTGTGACTATCGGTTAGTCTCCGATGGATTCTCAAAGAGAAGGTGGATCGGTTACGAGACTACCACTCTTTGATGGTTCTAATTTTGCATATTAGAAGGCAAGAATGAGAGCTTTTCTAAAGTCGATCGATGAGCGAGTATAGTTGTCCAACAGTGACTACTACCGAGGGGACCGACACCGTGACCAAACCAAATGCTTAAGAACTTGGACCAAAATCGAGTATGACTCTGTGGGGTGGAACTCTAAAGGCTTGAATGAGATATTCAATGTCATCTCTCCAAAAGAGTTCCGAATGATCTCCAATTATGAGACATCCAAAGAGGCTTGTGACATTCTTGAATTCTCTCTTGAAGGTACACCCTTAGTGAAGATGTCCCAGTTTCNGAATGATCTCCAATTATGAGACATCCAAAGAGGCTTGTGACATTCTTGAATTCTCTCTTGAAGGTACACCCTTAGTGAAGATGTCCCAGTTTCCATGGTACACCTCCCACTTTGAGACTTTGAGGATGTAGGAGGATGAAAATTTTTGTGATTTTTTTGCCATGCGTAGTGACACTGTCAATTCATCATTTGCTCGCGGTTTTAAGTATGAAGACTCCTCGATTAAATGGAAGATATTGAGATCTCTACAAAAGAGGTTTCAAGCAAAGGCAATAGCCTTAGAGACCGGAGTCAACTTGAATAAGGTGCTCGTTGAAGACATAATTAGGTTGATTTTAACTTTTGAGATGAATTGCCAACCACCCAAGAAGTTGAGAGGTGTTGCTTTGAGTTCAATTAGAGAAGAAGGAGATGAATCCAAGTCACCTCACTTGGGAAATGAGGACCTAGCCTGTTCTTGCAAAGAAGATCAAAAAAATATATTAAGGTTAGAGGTGTTGAGTACTCCAGGTTGAAGGGTAAGTCAAGTAGACATAGATATCTCAAGGAATGAAGAGAATACAAAGGGGGGAGAAAATTTCAGCAAAGGGCTGAAAAGTAGGGGCAATGACTTCAATGCTGTGAATGTCAAGAGTTTGGACACATGGCTGCCAAATGTCCTAGTAAGAAGAAGAAAGATTCGCCCAAAGAGAGGAGGAGAACAATGAAATCTAAGTGAAGCAGTAGTGATATGTCCTTGAAGGACAAGTTGAGCGTTCTAGAGAGTGAGTGTCATGGACTAGTAGAATCAAAGAAGGGTCTTCAGTTTAGGTTGATCAAACTTAATAGGGACCTCCAAGAGTCACAAGAACTCTAAAAAAAGACGTTTCCTAGGTTCTGAAAAGTTGGATAAAATGTTGTCTGTAGGGAAGAGTGTTGGTTACAAATGTGGTTGATGGTACACAAATGAGCACACCACCACCACTCCTAATACTGTGTTTGTGAAGAGTTAATAAGAACCCATCACCCCTCCCCCCCCACCCCCCGGGCAAGTGAACAATAGTCCCCCAAAGGCTAAATTTGGTAAGCGCAAAAACTTTAAAACACGATCACTATAGTACACATTGCATACATAATAGGGAAGTCATGAATAAGAAGCTCATACTCTTAGCTAATCAATCCAAGGTGTTGTGTTGAACCTTACCAAGCTTATGGGTAGATTGAGTGAATCTAAGCCTAGAGATTCTTCACCACCTAAAGGCTCACAAGTTAGGATGAACAAGACTACTTCTACTCCCAAGGTTAAAATTGACTTGGAAACTTTCAGAGGTAAGAGAATGAGTCCTCCACTCATTCTCCGTGCTAACCTAAGAAATTGGAAGGGAAAACAAGTGTGGGTAAGTAGTAAGGACTTTGAGATGCCCACCACTTTAACCAAATTGGAAGTCCCGAGGGATAAAAATGAGGTTGAGTCACCTAATACGTGAGCTGAGAGTGTGGACCTAGGTACATAGTCATGCATTGCAACATATCTCCTATGATCATCATTGTAAATATTTTTCATTGTTTCTTAACTTTACTTTTCCAATATGAAAAAACACAACAAAAAAAAAATAAAGAAAAATAAAGGGAAACTCCAAATAGATTTTTGATATCTAGTTGGACTTCCATTTGGGATTTATTAGGAAATGTTTTATTTTTCATTTGTTATTGCATGTTATGCACATTTTCTATTTTTAGGATATTTTTAAAAAATGCAAAAACATTATACAAGAAAAAATTGAAAAGATTTTATTGTTGTTTTTCTATTGATAATCATGGTAATCACACTTTGGTATGTTTTGTAGTGTATCCATACTTAAATCAAAGTTGAAGTGCCTTGTTATGAGACATATTAGGGAATAGAAAACTTAGTGGTTATAAGTGTTAGTGCATAATTTTTAAACCAAGCCTCTTTTACCCTAGTGTGCTTAGATTGTCAGTTATCAAAGACGCAAAAGTTAAACACGTGTGAGTGAAATTGAACTAAGTGATAGAAACTTAATGTGTGATGCATGAAATTTGAATTCTACATTCATTAATATGCCCCAAGAGTAATGTGTGAGAATGATAAAATAAGGATGCATCTTCTATGTTTTGAACTGGTGTGATTGTCATTATTAATGACTGTGTGCATTTAATGTTTAATTTGGAAATTATATTACATTTAGATCATAATTTCATCAATGCATATGAATTTCGTTGCATTTTAGTTATGCATACATTCAGGCATGATTTTTGAGGCACAATGAGTTAAGTGGAGGAGTATTTGTTGAGTTGTAGTGGTCTGAAATTCTGGTTGTTGTGCAGAAAGGCTTCTGGTACTGCTCGATCCACCCTCACATCGCTCGAGCCGCCAGTGCAGAATGTCGAATCTGAGGACTTAAAATTTAGTTTTACTTCATTCTAACTCACATAACTCCATTCCACAATCAAGCCTAACCCTTTAACCTACCTCCTTCAAACTTCTCAGAGTGTGTTTATAGGTGGGTTTCATCTTTAGATCCTTGATATTTACTGGCCTTTGCACCTATTCACTGATTGGGTTGGGAAATACCTCAACCAACTCAAGTACGATTGTTTGGTGAGAGGAGTCACTTCCAGGACCCAAATTATAGCGATCAGTAAAGACAACAATACTAATCGAGGCTGGTAATGGTAGAAAGAGGAGTGAACTTCACTGGGTAAGTAAGGAATACTACTATTCTTTTGAATTTTGAGATAAAAGGGTGGGCACATCTCTTTGTGACCCAGGGCCAACGAATGAAAACATTGTTCAGGAGTTCTACACACACATTACGAACACGACTGCAAGTAATGAACATTTTACTGCATATGTCTATATGCATCATTGGGTAGCTGGGGTAGATCCAGAATGGTAGCAATCATATCAACAGAACTCTGTAATTTTATTTAAAGAAGTTATAATTTAATTTTATAAACTTAGAGCATTTTCAATATTTCTTTCTATTTTAAAGAACATCTCTATAAAAATAAAGAGCATATTTGATGAAAAATTAAAATAGAGTGAAATTTTTGCAACAACTCCAATAGAACTCTCTATTTTATTAGAAAGGGATTACCTCGCTTTACACCCTGAAAGATTTATAAATTTCTCATTTTATACTCCTAAAGTTTAAATTTCTCACGTTACACCTTCAATGTATTAAAATGTTTTAATGTGACATTTTTGTTAAATTCCATTGCTTATTCTATCAAAAATCCACTCTATTGATGTTTAACAGAATGAATAACAAAAAACTAACAAAAGGACCAAATTGAGATCAACAGGTCGGCGTCGGGTAGGGATTGGGGGAATATAATAAAACATGAATAGGTGGGGAGAGAGAGAGAGAGAGAGAGAGAGAGAGAGAACATTAAGAAATGCCACAGGACATAAAAAATACCTGAACTAAATTTATAATGATGAATGTATATACATAATCAAAAAATTCCAATTTTCTTTTCTATCCTATTTTGGGCTTAAACTTAATCAGGCCAACATCACTCTGACACTCATCACTGGAACTATCTTTCCCCATGGCCTCCAGAGAGAGAGAGAGAGAGAGAGAGAGAACTCCTAAATTGTCAAAATCTTGGCCTCCGACTTGAGAGATATACACTGTACATGGTGCAGCTCAGGTTCAAGTGCTAAGCTTCACTAAGAACTGGCTCAGGCGGTATTCTTAAGCATTGTAATTATCCAAAAATTTCCACGTGCACAGAATGTTCAGCAACGGTTTAGCCACTTAGTTTGCCTAAGAAGTTGCTCAAATTGTATTCTTCACTGTACTGTGATTGATCCCAAAGTTCTTCAAGGCCACCGAGGATGGCTTTTAACCCCTTTCCACGACCCGATAATTTTGGTTGCCCATCAAAGTTTTCATCAGAGATTTTCGATGTGTTAGCTCCCTGGAAAACAATTTTATAAAGGGGAAAAGGTTCAAACATAATAAATTTTGCCTTGATTATGTTAGTAAAAGTATAAGTAAAATAGTGCATTCAAAAAATCCGGCTTGTGAAACTGAAGTGAACAATACCTTTTTGCTTTCAGCCGACATAAATAGATCAAGCAACTGATCTGTATTCATTGTTTTCAGACTAGCATTTTCTGCATTAATGACAGCATTAGCAACTGACACTTTGAACTTCTGGAGGCTCATTACTTTCTCTTCCAGGGTTCCTCGCATTATGAGACGATGAACATTAACAACTTTTCGCTGACCTAATCTGTGCGCTCTGTCCATTGCCTGAAAATGTGTAACAAAGATAACAAATTCGTTGCAAGAGAATATAGAGGATAAAATCGCCATTCATTCATGCAATCCTCTAGGAAACAAACACAAAAACTACATGCTCTCAAGAAGCAAGTGAAGGTAATAAAATCTCATCCCGTGTGTACATTCATGTGCTTGTGCACATGCGTGTGGATGGATGCATGAGAGTCCAAACGAATTGACTATGCAATTAAGCAACAACTAGAAGCAATAGTCAATCAGGAGCAACTATTTCAGAGGGACTTCACTGTTTTTGTTGTTGTTGGGGTGTTTTTTTTTTTTTTTGGGGGGGGGGGGTTGAGTGTTTGATAACTTAATTCAGCACTTAAGCCTGAAAGCAGTCTGCAATTTTTCAATTAAGTGCGTCTGATAACCAAAACTCACACTACTTAAAATTTTAATCACATCTTAAAAATAAGATTAAAATACTAAGTAGCAAGTCACTTACTTTTCACTTAATGCTGAAATACTAGTAAGAAATTAAGAATATTATAAACTTCACATAATGGACAAGTTTATTCTCAAGTAATTTGATCTCAATCAATTTAACACTAATTTTCGAACACCCACCATCACCACTATCATCACTACTTGCCACCCCGCCACCACCTCCCCCATTGCCGCCAGCACCCACCATGACCATCGTTATTGTTGCCACCAGTACCACTGCTACCCTCCAACCATCACCCATCTTTGTCCCACCACCACCACTACTATTGATGCCCCACACCATCACCACCATTGTTGAACCATCCACATCACCACCACTATCGCAGCCGATGTCGCCACTATCATCACCACCACCATTACCGTTGCCACTGCCACCATCACGACTGTCGCTGCCGCCACCATTGGTACCACCACCACCTCTACTACTACAACCATGCCACCACCACCGTCGTCGTTGCTGTCATTACTATCAACACCACCACCATTGCCATCTTACCACTACCACCTTTACCTTTGCCCCCATATCTGCTACCCCACCACCATCACCCACAATTAGTACTCACCCTGCCACCACCTCCTACCTTCACTCTTATCATCACCACCTACCCACCTCCGATATTGCCTTCAGCATGCTTATATACCATTTCACCACCCTACCGTTACCACCAACCAACTAACCACCATCACCAACACAACTATCATTTCTTCACGACCACCACCCCATCGCAACCACCATCACCAGCACCCTGTTCCACCGCTCACCCTCACCCTTACCCCACTACAATTATTGTCACCACCAGTCTGACTACTACTATCCACTCCAACCACCATGGTGGTAGTAACGATGGTTACATAGAGGTAGTAGGTTTTGGCAATAGTAGTGGGTGTAGTTGTGGTTGGGTGATAAAGGTGGTGGTATTGAGTGGTGGTGGGTTGGTTGTAGTCTTGGTGATGGTGAAAGGATGATGATGATGTCGATAGTATCAGAGTAGGCAACGATCGAAATGTCGTGTCAATTTGTCCGAAACGTTTCGGATTTTCAACACACCAAAACGAAATATGGCTTGAATCCTAAAATTCCAAAGTTTCGGTCAAAACGTCACTGTGTCGGACCGTTTCAGACAAAACAGTACCGTTTCGACGAAACATTCAATAGCACTCCAGGCCAAAGTCCTCCAAGCCCCAAAAAAGGGAAAAAAATAGAGATCAAAGGTCCAGGTCTTCCAAGCAAAAAAAAAAAACAAAGAGAAGAGAGAGAAAGACACACCCAGATGAAATTGAAGGAAAAGAGTTCAGTAACTTACCTCTTTGAGTCTAGATTTGAGCAGATCTAGCCCCTAGCCACGCAGATCTAAGACTTGGGACTTAGGTCTTCATCGTTACGAGCTGCGACCCACGAGCTACCAAGTATCTTCTTCATCTTTCTCTCTCTCACCGGCATCGGCACCGCCCATCGCCATCTTCATCTCCTTTCTCTCTTCTTTCTATCTGTGTTCGTGGGTGAGAAAGAGACACGACCGACTCTTTGAGAGTCTTCTGACTTTTGTATTTTTTTTTTGTTATAACTATAAAAAATTACATTTAATACCTCACTTCATTATAACTTTTAATTTTTAAGTATACATAAGTACCATTAATTTTAGTTAATACCCTTCATTATTTTTTTTCCGTTTTGTAAGTATTCTTTTATGTTATTATTATTTGTTAAAATGGTATATTAAATACCTACAAGTCATTTTATTAATTATACATTACTTTTAAATATCTAGAATTAAATATTTATGTGTGTATAAATTGTGTATACAATGATTTTAATATTAATGAAATAATATTATTTATTAATTTGAAGACGCAATTTAAATTAATAAATTAGTATTATAATAATATGCTACACAAATTAGTATTATAATAACATGTTGCACGAAGTGTTAATATTATTAATTACTAAATTAGTATTACAATAAAATATTATTATTAATTAAATAATATTTTAATTTAAAAGTGTTATACATGTCATATTTAAGTGATTTCCGCCTCACGTTAATCCTTTTTTTTTCCCCTCCAGTTTAAATTTATTCCTATATAAATGGATGTTAACCAAATAAATATGTTGAATTAATCAATTATTAAACTTATCTTTATAAATAAATGGATTGTATTTGTGTTTTCACATATTTTTATATTTTTTCTGTTTTTCCAAAATATTTATGTATTTGAGCTGACCGAAATGGTACTTCGAAACGATATTTCAATCCTTGAGTAGGTGACAACGAATGATGGGGCGGTGGTGTTAGAGGAGGCATCAAATAACAACCATGGTGGAATTATAGAAAAGGTGAAGGTGGAGTGGTGGTAGTGAAGATAGAGATGTGTGTATTTTCAACTAGCATTGGATCAAGAGTCACTATCAATAGTTGCAGAGCAACTAGCACTTTGCTACTGTTGCTACTTCGCCCCAACTACCGCTATCCTTGGAAAAGTAAAGAGCTACAGAAGGAAAGGGCTGCAGTCTCTCCCTTGGCCTTTGGAGAAGAGAGGGAAAAGAAGAAAATGTCCATCGCGCAAGTTTTTTGACTTCTTGCGCCCTAACTAATTTTGGGGCTCTTCAACAAAGGAGGCATTCTAGTAGGAAGCCAAGACGAAAGAGCGAAACAAGTCCCGCTTTGCTTTAAAGCATAGGGGAGAGGGAGAGAGAAACTCTCTTTAGCGGTTCGTAGGTGTCATATTTGATCTAGTAAGGGCAGTAATGAATAATAGTGATGGTGATTGTTGAAATAAAGTAGTTGCAATGAGATGATAAAAAAGAGGTATAAAATTAGAATAATAATAATTTTTGTAATTCAACTTCTTGTATTTGTCAAATAGATTGATTCAATTAAGTACTTAAATTTTAGTGAATACCAAAAAGTTTACGAATTAAAAAATTCAACATTCGGCACTTAAAATTTAACATTTAGTTTTCAGTACTCAATTTGTAGTTTTATCAAACACCACTCAAGTCATATGATGAATGAAAAAACAACCCAAGCTTCCAAGGGACTAAGTTACTAGTTAACAAGCATGAAAAGACAAGGTGGTACAGTCCTTCTACATATTGCATCAGTGGCCTCTAACTCATGGAAAGTTAAAGCCAATAAATTCTAGTAATACTCAAAACTGACTAATTTTCAATGAGGTTGACTAGGACATTTGGTTGAAATAATCTTGTTTTCTTGATTGTGCTACACCAAAGGATAAGTAAGAACGAACGAATTCATGACAAAAAGTTGCTACCATGAATGAACAGGCCACAGACAACAAAGGTAAAATTAAAATCTATACACCTGATGATCCCGCATTGGATTCCAGTCATGTTCCATGAAAACAAGGGTGTCAGCTGATGTCAGGTTCAGACCAAGCCCACCAACTGCAAAAATGATTATAGATAAGCAAAACACCAGTCTCAGCATGTTTCTTTCTCAGTAAGCCAAATCTTTACAGTGCAAACAAAAGAATTTTACCATGTGTCGTAAGCAGAAGAACATCAATGGTCGGGTCAGAATTGAAGGCCTTCACAACTTCAAAACGCTTTTCTGATTCAACTGATCCATCCAGCCGCATGTATGTAACACTACATCGAAGCAAGCATAAACTATTAGAACAAGTAAAGGTGTGAAATGACACTACCAAGACGTTCCGCACAAACTATTAGAACAATTGAGGGTGTGAAATAACACTAAGACTTTCCAAACGTAAGGCAAATAAAAGGGCATCCATTAAACTTCTGATATCAGTTCTTGAATTATATTTCCCATTATGTCGCCCAAAACATGAATTTTTGCAAACTTAACAGAAATTCTTAGTAATTCAGGGAAATAGCTTCTTATTCCTAACTCCGATTGGGCAAACTATACTTTTGGTACCCCAAATATGCGGTTTGTACCAGTTTAGTCCCCATTCGTTTCAATATAACTTTGGTCCCTCAAGTTTCCATTTTAAGTCTAATTGTTCCATTCGGAAATAGCGATTAAAATCTCTAATAGAATTAGTCACATGCATTTCACTTGACTGATAACCCGAGGTAGTCTTCGCTTATGGACATCTAAGCCAAGACTCAAGCAAGGAAGTCCATGGATCATAAAAGCTGAATATTTATGTTAGAGTTCTTATTTTTTTATGTTTTATATTTATAAGCTAGTGTAGAGTAATCTTGTAATTATTCAAGATATTGTTTAATCTATTTCTATACTGCTTATAAAAGTGGCTTAGGATGAAAAACTTTTATTTTCTTAATGTATTTTTAATAAACTCTATAATACCAATTTTATCATTCTTCAAAATGCACTGAATATATATAAGCATTCATTATACAGCTAGAACTTATATCTTTCATATGTTAGAAAGCAAAAAAAAAACTCTATCGATTCTGCTGCTATGATTTCAATCTTCGGTCAGTTATGAACTCTTCCAGATTCTCCCTCCTTCTAGTTGCTCTCTTCTATACATATTTGATATGTCCCTCTTTTTATCATGGCGGTACCGATAGCGATAAACACGAGCACAAGAGATTTTGAAGGCAAATCCTAAGAACTCTCTAATGCTTAGAAATTATGAAAAATTCTTCTATGAGGTACACCCTTTGTTTTTATGATATATCGTGTGAACTTTTCTTTTTTTATTAATTTATAGGAACTGTTCGATCTTCTGATAAAAACATCCTGTATATCGTGTTGCTTTCTTTGGGTTCTAATTTTTCTAAAGCTATTTGCTTTCTTTTCTCTTTATAGTTTTTCTCCCTTCTTTTTGCGGCTTCCTATATTCTCTATTTTACAATTCTATGTAGCATGTTTTACAATTCACCATAATCTTCATGAGCAAATTTTAATGGATTGTGCTTCCATTCATTCATCGAATTTTGCCTGTAAATAGGGAACACTTCATCGATCCTATTTTCTGACACATTAAAGTGCATAGTTTTTTATCATCTCATATAAAAACTTCTGGATGGTAATCAGAGAAATATAGAGATTGGATCAATCCCAAAGCCTTTTCCACTTTTTCATGACCTTTTCACCATTTTCACATCCTCCTCCAAGGAGACTTGCTTGTAATGTGGTAATGTGTTGATTGATGAGTGCAACATTATGGTGATTGTGAGGCTGTAATTGTACATAAGCATATGTTTACGGATTTTAAGATACAGCTGATCTATTTTGTGTGTGTGCATGTGCATAAAACAATTATATGTAGTTAGAAATTCACAAAAGTTAAGAAGAATAATGAAAGCATGTATATGTTTCAGTTTTAAGCCTTTGAACTTTATGGTTATCTCTGATGCTTTAGTATTCTTATTGTGGATGTATGGAAACATGGTTGCTCACATAGCTAAATCAATCTACAAGTAATTTAGGTGAAACGGAATTTAAGATGTGTAAAATAATGAGGTACAATGCGTGTGCTATTAAGATTTTTTTTTTTTTTTTTTTACTTTCTGATGCCTAGGGGTCATTTAGATGGCACCTCTGTCTTGCAAATATAAGCATGTGGTCACGGTTGCTATTTTTTTTATGTTTTTTCAGCTGCTAAAAACCAAAGGGATTATTGGTGATATTTAGGTGTTTTAGTAAAATGTGGTCATATAATGCTATTACAAGTCTGGCCAACGTATAATACAATAACATTAATTTCAATCCAAAGTCGATACGATCTTGCAAGAGAAATTAAGAACAGATGAAGTCCAAAATATAAGGGAAACCTTAATTGGTGAAATTATGAATGATATTCATATGGTCAAAATTTAATAGTACCAACTAAGTCATCAGTACACACTCAAAAATTTAAAAGGAGTATTCAAATGAATTGATGGATGAGAAGAACAAATGTTATCGTAAAAACGAAGTTGAGATTGCAATCAAAGAACCCTTGCAGTCAGTTTACTTTGGACGCAGCATATAGTCATGCTGATAATTGTTGTTTATTAATGCTATGTGTTCAGTTTGTAAGATTTTATTTGTAGAAGCAGGGGGTAAAGTATTAGGGTGTTTGGACTGTGCTGGATAGATGCCAGTCATCATGAAATTTTCTTGAGGAATATAGTATGAAAAATACTAATTTGGGATCCTAAATAAGATCTCAAATAAGCAAGGACCCTTGAATGAGTGGGTCCATTAAAAAAAATTCAGTGATCTCATCGATCCAATAATTTCTTTGCATTTTGGCTCTCTACCATTGCTCATTTAAAACTAAAACTTGCTGATAATAAAAAGATAATGAGTGAATACTATTCAACTTTGGTGATTATTTGCCACTTTACGGGTTAAACTATTTTTCTTATTTATCAGTTTTAAGTTTATTAACCGACCCCAAGTAGCTAAGATAAGGTTTTGACAATAATCATTGTATTTGGATGGGAGAATGTGGGTGTTAGAATGTGTAGGTATTAGTTGTGGTAAAGATTTCATGAGCAATCCAATATTAGTACATATTGATTTGCTATGTGAGATAAAAATGCTAAGGTGCATGTTGTTCAAGAAGTATGTTTTGTGCGAACTGTAGTGAATCTAATATTAGTGGAATTGATATTTTTGCCATCCTTGGAGATTTGAATTAAGAGCCAGAGTTTATCATTTGTCTAATGATAAACTTTATCACATACTGTTTTCCAAGACAAATCTTTCCAAGACAAATCTTTATCACATACTGTTTAGGTTGGAACTTTCTTTGAAATTACTCAATAGATCCTACTAACATTGATCTGAGATGACTAAAATGTTTGTTAAAATGGAAAAGTAGGAAATGTTGTTTCTGATTTTTTTCATGGAAGACACTCTAATTTTAGCTTAATTAATCTAGAAAATTCATGAAAAATAAGTCATGTCCTTTTGAAGTCTGCTTATTGCAAATGGAGGAAAAAAATAACCTTACATGAACATTGAACAAAGTCCATGTATTAATGGGTGAATAGAAGTCTTCAAAGTCGCCAATTTCGTCTGGGTACTTTCCAATTTTGATAAATTCATATATATTTTAACAGAACCGTGAACATAATCATCCCATTTTACTGAGTGGAAAGTTGTCTACTTGCATATAATTGTTGCTTTAGGTTCATTGGGTAAAATTATTGCTTCTGCGCTTCTTGATGTTTCTCCAATCATGCTGTGAGAACTTCAAAATGGAGTATCTTGCAAACAAGAATGTTACCAAAACTACAAAAATCTAAAATATATGGTGGAATGCACAAGATGCATTTACACCCAACTTGAAATGTTATGTTAGATAGTATTTTTTTTGGGGTTTCTTATAGAACTGAGTTCTTTTTTTAATTATTTGTCAATGTTTATAAAAAATGTGTATTTTCAGATTAATGGTTCACAGTTTTAAATATATAGGATTTTGTATTGAAAATAGTTCACGTACAATATACGTGTACATCAACTAGTATAAATAAGAGGGTGTAGCGCAGCACTACACACAAATTATTCTCATTCTCTTTATCTCTGTCCATCTTCTTCTCTCTTTCTTCTACTACAACACTATTATTTTACGTTTTAACTTGCATCAGAGCATCAATCCAACATTACATATCATCATGAAAATATCATAGAAGGCTTGGGAAGAATTTTCTGGTCGCTAACGTCATTGTAAGTGGTGACATCATGCTAACATCGGCATGGCATAATCAGCTTCCAATCATCAAAACTCACCCACCTGGGATATTTTATATAGTAATATTGGTGATTTTTGTTTATTTTTTTGAGATCATTTGATTAGGGTTTGCGATTTTTCAATGTTTTTTGCAAAAATAGGGCCTATTTTTCTGATTTGTTGATTTAGGGCTAATTTGTGGTGTTTGTTGCTTCAATCAGAAGTAGAGGGGTGCGATTTGGTTGGGGTAATCCTCCTGTGTGATGCCCTACATTTGGTTGGTTTGTGACGTGGTTTGGCCCAAATCTAGTTTCAGCCACTGTTTGGGGGATTGTTCGAGAATCGGTACTCTACCAGTGGCCTCAGTTTGGCTCTTTTTTGGATTATGTGTTGTGTTTGAAGGCCTATGGTGTGATTCCTTCCATCGGGTAATTGGGCTTTCTGAATTTCTGACAAAAAGATTTTTCTTTTTTCTTTTTTTTCATTTGAGTAGGTTGTGGATCTGTTGTGTTTCGTTGTGTTGTTGGTGACTGGTTGTTCTTTGTTACGTGATTGGTTGGGTACTGGTTTGTGCTCCTTGGTTGGGTGATCAGTGGCTGGTTGAAGCTTCCATTTGTGGCGATTTGTTCCCTACTACTCAATCCTTGTTTTTGGGTGTATTATGGCAACTTACTCCTTCGGTAGATGACTCAGTTTGACTGGTTCACTATTCATACTGGCAAATCACTTCTGAAATTGAACGGAACCAACTATTAATCTTGGTTCCATGATGTAAACAGTATCATCAATGAGAGAAAATGAAAGAGAGAGAGAGATACATATAGTTACACATATGGAATGAAACAATGACTATATTATCCCTCATGCACTAGGACTTCCTAAAGCTGAACTAAAAATATCAAATAGTCGTAGCTTGGAACAAATATTTCCAATTTTGTCTCTACCGAGCGACTTGGTG